TAGTCTTTCTGACCACGAGGAGGAGGAGGAACATGAGGACAACGAGGAAGAGGTGGCCGAGGATGAGGACGATGACGATGAAGACGAACTGGAGGACAGCAGCGAAGAGGAAATGAGGAGCGACGAAGAGGAAGAAGAAGCGCACGACGACCTGGCCGACGACCACATAAGCTTATGGGAGGATGACGAAGGGGAGGAGGAGGAGGAGGAAGGAGAAGAGGAAGAGGAGGAAGGGGATGACGATGAAGATGAAGATGAAGACAATGAGGATGTAGAGGAAGAGGAGGACGACGATGAGGAAGAGCGAGGGGTTTAAGTGAAGCGATTAGCTGTGGTAGGACCAGATGTTTGAACGTTTCCTCCTGCTGGATCCACTTGAAGCTAACTGCACTGACAACCCAATGCTAAACTGTGATGCTACCGCTAAGCTACATCAAAGTGCTTTATATCAGAGATTCACTGTAGATAAAAACCCGGCTCACATCAAAAACATGAATGTACCATGACATAATATGTACCAAACCTTTGCATGGCTGCACTGCTCCATTTTCTATCACTTTGATAAATATTTTACTAAATCCAATATATTTCCCTGCAGAGGCATAGAAAGGCAACCGTAGTCTTGCCTGATAAGAAATGAATGTTTATTCATTTGAAGAAAAAGCATTCAATTTCTTACTTTCACTTCACTTTGTCAGCATGTTTGGTTTCTAAAGGAAAAGCGAACACAAAACATCTGGCCTGGTGTTTGAACAAGCTGTGTGTGTGTGGTGCTGTTTTATGCATTACAAGTTAAAGTGTGTGTGTGGCAGCGAGGGGAAGTATTGCAATGCGATACGTTTACATTAGATGGTAAAAAAAAAAAAAAGTAAGGCTTTAAAAGCAGTGCTTGCTTTGTATAAAGAATTGTCAAATGTTTCTATGCACACTTCAAATGTGAATTTTAAAGGAGCAGTTTTAGGTCGTATGAAATTTTGCACTTTAACATTCAGATATTTCAGGCAGAACAGAACATCTTTATACTAAAGATTGATTTTTTTTTTTCTGATTGTGACTGTAAGGGGCCAAAATAAGATAAGATGTGCATATTATTAATAAAGTCTGAATTGAATATTTCAAATGATGTTGCTTGTCTGACTTGGAGCATCAAGATCACTCAACAGAAATGTCATATTTTTTTCAAATGCTGTCGGCTAGCAACAGTAGATTGTCATCAGAAAACATCAGTGTAGTCTGTCAATAACTGAATGAGCACATATGTTTTATTTAGGATATTATTAAATATTTATTTCTTATTAGGATCTGACTGTCGGTGGTCAGGAGCAGCCCAG